ATTAACTACTTAATACTTACTAATTCAGAAGTCAAACAACAAAAATCAGCGTTATATTCACAAAATTTTGCAGAAATTTAACTTTCGGGTTGTTTATTCTCCCATCAATAAAATTCCAACTTCTATACTCAAGGACCCCATTCCGGATATGAATTCCTGGGGTATTTATAGGATTCCTTGCCAGTGTGGTTTAATTTACATTGGTCAAACTAAGAGAGCCTTAAAATTTCGCGTCAAAGAACATGAGGCATATGTTAGAAAAAAGGAAACACAGAAGTCGTCTGTTGCTCAACATTGTTGGTCCGAAAATCACACTTTCAATTTTTCTGCTGCCAAAATTATTCAAAAAACAGCTTCCATTGGAGAACTGGATTTTCTAGAGGCATTTCACATTCATAAAAATCTTTCTGTTCTAGTTAACGATCCTAATTCCAATCCAAATTTGCCTTCGGCTTTTAGAGAAATTATGTTTTAGTTCTGGTTTCGCCAACAGATGGCGCCATTTGCTTATTCTTGTCCAGGCTTTCTTATCTTATCTAATCATTATTTCCTATCTTGTTCATTTGCGGTTTTGCAGCTGAAGATGATGGTTCGGTAAAACCATCGAAACTAGTCCTGTGAAAATTTTGTGAATATAACGCTGATTTTTGTTGTTTGACTTCTGAATTAGTATTTATTCGGCGTGTCATTGTGTCTTAATTACTTAATGCTTAGTTATGGAGTTATGATGTCTAATTCCTGTTCTTGATGTCTTTTAAATCAGTGACTCTTAAATTTCTTTGCTACGTCTAGTGAACACAAAACTATACTGCAATTTTCACATAAAATATTTTTAAATGTGTTAAATATTAGTATTGAAAAATAATGGTATTTCTATTTAATTTATCTTATTACAAAATAGTTCAGTAAAAGTCCGATAATTCAGCATTCAGTGGCTGAACAAACCCTATCAACCGGCATACTTTGAACCAACATTCGCATCGTAATTTAGTGTACTATCTATGTACACTTCGTACACTTCGAAGCACATCCAACTTGTTATATGTTCTATTTGGAAGCGGAATTTTTTGGTTGCTATACGACATTTATTTGGAATACAGCTCGAGTTTGATGAGTCACAACCGAGCGAGCGAGCAACACTTGTTTACTTTGTTCGAGACCTACGGCTGCTACGTTTTCATTATATGGAACATACTCCATTTATTCTAACCTCCTTGATAAAACTGTTTTATTTGCTTACAGTGTTGCCACTTCTCACTTATATCGTTAAGTTTAGTAATCAAAAATTCCTTAAAGTTTTACAAAATATGAAATAAATAATAAAACAAATTCGAAATTCAGAAATTGGACTTCCAGGTACACATGTTCGGACTACGTTGTTCAAAATTTGATGGCTCTAGGTACCTGCGTTTTTTCACGATGCGAGGAATTTGCATACATTCATGCAGATTCTTCATTATTTAATTTAAAAAAAAATAATATTTGGTGGCCACAATTTGAAAAGTGTATGCGCCGTTTATAATGAAGCAACAGCAAAATCCCATTTCGAGACTAATAACCCCTTTTGGACTAAAAGAGTCAAATTTGCTTAATTTATAAGAATGTTTCAGTACATCAGTCAAGTTTTGTCCAATCTTAATCACAACATTTCTCATAATGGCTTCCCCTTTTATTTAGCACGAGACATCTTTGCTAACCTGAAGCCACAAAAAATACCCTTTGATTATTTATTGGAGCACCCATGTTTCTGTACCATCGTGCTGTGAGAGCGATGAGTGAATAGAAAAGCCCCGGTCTATGGATCAAAGGATTATCGATAACTTTTCAGCAGGAGAAGAGATTTTGAGCTCTTAAATTTTGACCAGACGATACAGAGATTAGTGTCTGTCACGAACTTAAGTGTTTGAATGACACAAAACCCTTGATGGCGAAAGAACTGTTTGGAAGCTTTGGAACAAGACCTTATTTGACAGAGCGAGGCATTACTAACATCGTTCTCATAAGCGCAACACACATTATTCACATTACTGATCGCTCTCACAAACGCCACACATGACTGGCAAAATGTAGGTTCCACTTAACATTGAGCAACTTGAGACGGTCAGAATATATAAGGTAACTTATTATGCAGCATGAAGCATCGCGTGAAAAATCCAACAATCCACGTCATATTTGAGTGTTCTGAGAAATGTTTTGTATTACATTGTTTTAGCAATTATATGTGCACTTATTTATGTCTTTTACCAGTGAAAATGATTCCCAAAAGAGCATTTTCTCTATTAGCTTTGATAAATGAAGTGACACGACAGTGAAATTAAATTAAACTTTTTCTGTCATCATCTGTCGTTTCTACGAGCGTCAAAACTTCCTACATTAATCACTAATGGTTTATTTGTTTTCCTACAAACCATGGTCCATCAGCTTTGTGAGTCTTTTCCCATTTTGGAAGGCCCTCAGACGTCTATTCTTTGAATAACAGCTGAGTCGATAAAGAGCTCAATGAAAAGCGATGCTATAAAGCGATGGGATGCTTACAAAAAGAACAGGTGCTCAGAAAAATCGAAGTCATCAACACAACCACGAACCCATGTGACTTTCTTTGAAAGAGGAGATGAGGCGAATAGAGGGTATCCGCTGATTAATCACTGTCGATGGCTTTTTTTGATGAAAATCATGCGATGGCCGTAGAAGAAGAATTCTGTGTTTGCAAGCGTTCGTTTTCCATCCTATATTGGGTAGAATTATCAGAGATCTTTTCCGCTGTGTCTGGAGTAAACGTAAAATGGCTGTTTATTAATTTGAATGCAAATAAAAATTTCTAAGCACAGATATCAAAGTTAAGTTTTAAAGCAGTTTTAAGTTTTAAAGCATTTTTTTAATGTTATGAAACAAATTTCCATAGTACGAATCAAGATTAACTTTATTATCATGATCAACTTCTTAACTTTCTTATTAATTCTTTTTCATACAAAAGTGATTGAAACACATAAATGTTCAATTATTAGTTGGTGTCATGAACAGTGTAAAGACATTAGGATTTTTTTTGGGGGGGCGGGAAGCAGGAAAGATGAAAAATGAGAAACGCCTTCGCGTTTCGAACCACGGACCTCTGGAGTACACGCACAGCATGCAGACCACTACACCACGAAGGCACGCTAAGAAGGTGGGAGAAATACCTTATAACAGAAAGCCTCGATAACAGCTTAAACTCACAAGATTTTGGATTAAGGCGTGAGTTTAACAGGTCCGGTATTGTTGCTATCGTCTAAATTAGAATCTTTCAGTTGAAGCTTCATGGGGGAAAGAATATGGTGCATGGAAAGGAAAACTCATCACATTTTTATTAAATTTTATAGGCTAAAATGATGAATAAGCCGATTTTGTTGTGATTTTACAAGATAATTTAGCTAAAATTCGTCTCAGCTTTAATTGAAAAGGATGAGTTTAAAAAATTAAAAAGAGATTAATTATACTTTACCAAATTCGCTACTGACGTGGCGCATATGAAATGTACTGTTCATTTGGCATACAGAATTGCAACTAATACTGCCTGAAGCTCGGTCTCTTAGAATGGAGACTTAGAATGTATTAGACTTTTAAAGAAAAGACGATGTTCAAATAAACTCCCTTCTCTCGCTCTTTAATCATAAACTGAAGGGGGGGATGTAGTTTTCCAAGAAAGAACAACGTAACATTTTTTAAAATTAATTTTAAAACTCATGTGTGTTTGAAATTAAAAAGCAGTTTTGACCCCCTGGGGATCGACAGCCAAATATGCACGGGCAGTTGAGAGGCATAATGAAATGTTAGGCACTGACAGATATTATGAAAATCGCATTGAGTACAAAAAATTATTAAGATATCAAAATTTATAATTAGTTGTTTATTGATATAAAGCTACATTATATATGGTAAAGAAGAAATGATATAAAATAAATATAAGGGGGAAAAGTAGACGAAAATTGTTTAATATATTTTTTAAATCAATGATACTTTTTTAAAATATATAATTTTTATGCCAAAGGTGAAATATAAAAATTAAATAAATGAAAAGCAGGAACACACACACACATACCAAATAAATAAATAAAAACGAAGATTGCAAAACTTTCTTAGAAGCTATACTGTTACTTATAAGCAGATTAAAAAATTTAAAAGAAGATTTTCATTTTTGTTTCCAAGATTTTAAAAATTTGAATATACCAGCATCGCTCATAGTAACATCTGAACTGTATGTAATATATCTGACTTTAATATACGACTTAAAAAGTGTTGAATGCACTGAAGGCGAATATTCAAGCACAAGTCTTATTAAAAACAAATAGGTACGCTAAGGTTTGGAATTTAAACGTCATCTCAGAGAAATATCCCAAAATAAAAGTTTCTGCTAAACAACATTACTGACTGTGCTCTCTTTTTATGTAGCAGAAGCAGGCTTTAGTCAAGTAAGTAACTTTTCTTTATTTCCAATGGCAGATTATGAACAGTTACAGCAAAGAACAAAGAATACAGAATACAGCACCACAATGTAAAAAAAAAAAAAAAAAAAAAAAAAGCCTTGAACTGTAATAGAAGCCCATTAATCTAACATATCTCTTGCCTCCCAGTACGGCTCATTGAGAAAAATCTTGCGCAGAGCAGAACAGTGGGGTAGATGTGCGGCATCCATCACCTCTTCAGAGCTGCACAGAGTGCATATCGGAGAAGGAACAATTTTAAATCTATGAAGATGATATTGTAGGCAGACATGTCCGGTGGCAAGGCGGAAGTCTGCGACCATTCTGCGACAATTCTACGCCTTGGGCCATTACACAAATTCGGGATAGCATTCTTCCAAGACTTATAAGAAACACGATGGTAGAGATCTTCCTGAGCATGTACTTTGAAAGATCTTTTAATAAGATCTCTAAGAGTATGGAAAGGCAAAGGACGGGAAATATTCTGCATGATTAAAGCACCCTTTTTTTGCCAAGAAGTCGGCTTTATCGTTACCTGGAATCCTACAGTGGGAGGAACCCACAGCACAGGAGGACTATAGTTTTCTCAAGTGAAGCCAGGTTTTGTAGATAATGTCGACAATCCAATATGCCCTGTGATATGGGATTTTTATCTGAAACGATAGCCAACAGAACAGCTTGGGAATCGCTGAGTATAACGGCTCTTGTGAAATTTTCCAAGTGGCATGGCAGCTGGCACAGAGCTGTGCGAATTGCAGCAATTTCACCGTCAAACGCAGAACCTCGGCGTACAGGAATGTAGAAAGAGAAAATTTCGGAGAAAACTCCGGCACCTGCATTAGGGCCATCAGACAGGAGGGATCCATTAGTGAAGATCAGAAGCCACTCTGGCTCAGGGTAAAAAATCTTTAGAACTTCGAAATCGAGGCCTCTCAAAATAGAAGGATCCGTATTACTTTTGGTTACTTTTTGACCCAGGTCAATATTAATCCAGAAAGATTTCAAATTTATTGGATTTTGTAGTCGAACAAGTAATTCTGCTTCATTTCTTAATCCAAGTGAATTTTTTAACTGAAAAACTCTCTGTAGAAAGCCCATCTGGGTCTTTAGATTTCCCAGAGAATTAAGGCCCTCTCTTGAATTACGGTTCTTAAGGGTTTATCACCAGTTAACATAAACATGGCGTCAATCGAGTGGTCTTCGTGGCTCCAGAAACAATACGTAAGCACTGATTTTTGATTTTTTCCAGAGTACATTTTCCACGGCCACAACAAGTGGTTCACAGCAGTTAGTCAGAAGGGGAAGGATAAACGAATGATAAGTTTTCAGCAGGGTTTGTCTAGTGCAACCCCACCTTGCCCCAGCAAGGCATTTAAGGACACTGAGCCTCTTCGTAGCACGTTTGGACAAGTTCTCTACGTGTGGCTTCCATGTTAGTTTGCGATCAAACGTCACACCTAAATATTTAAATTTATGGCACAAGGGGATTTGGGTATCCTTATACGTCAGCTGAAGATCCAAAGATTGGTGCATAAGTGAGAAAGTCATGCAGTATGATTTATTTAAGTTCAGCTCCATATTATTAGTGTCACACCAAACTTCCAAAGTATTCAAAGCAGCATGCGCTTTCTTTTTTAGAAACTGTCCAGAAAACCAAATCATCCGCGTATAAGAGGCACTTTACGCCAGAAATCTCTCGTATTTTATAAATTGTATCATTAATATAGATGTTAAAAAGAGAGCAGCTACTAACAGCTCCCTGTGATGTTTTTAAGATCTTAGATTCGATAGAACGTTGCCGTACCTGACTCTGAAAGATCGCTGGCACAGGAAGCCTCTAATTCAATGAAAAATATTTGCTCTAATGCCTAGCCCCGACAGTTTCAGTAGGAGGCATTCCCGCCATACTTTGTCGTAAGCAGACTTGAAGTCGATAAAAACTGCGGTCAGGAGCTGTCTATTATCCAGGGCGTCCTTGACACATTGACTCAGGAGGGCAACATGTTGGTTAGTAGGTCTAGAGCTGCCTGCTCCTCAACAAGAAGTCCGCAAGTTTCTAAGTAATAATTAAGTCTTCTCACAATTATTTTCTCCATAGCCTTCCCCGTAAATACTAGTAAGTGATATTGGTCTATAGTTACAGAGACTACACCGATCTTTGTCTTTCTTATGTATGGGAATAATGATAGAATAATTCAGTTGGTTCAATACCAGTGTTCCAAATTAGATTGAAAAAGATCCAAACAGTCTCAAATGCTTTAGGACCAAGATGGGAGAGAAACTCAAAATGGATTCTATCTCCACCAGGTGATTTACTACAAGGAAGGCTTCTTAAAGCATAGATCAATTCGTCTCGAGTAATGGGTGCCTCAAAAACTGAATCAGTAGAAGATTCAAATTCCGACTGCAGGAGCGTAGTTTTTTGCTTAACTCTTTTTTGGACGAATGTATTTTTGCCAGAGCTTAAATTGCGCCGGAGCGTGCCAGAGCCTAGCTCTGGTACTTCTTAGTTTTTGGGATAAATCATATTTCTAGGTGGAGCGCACCGGAGCCCTAAGTAACAAGGCTCCGGCACTTCTTTTATATAACTGGAACAACAATTTCAGTAGAAATTTGATCTCGAACATTTTATTTTTTGCAATAAAATTATATTACAAATCGCTTATTAAATTTTAGTTTATCTCTTTACATTTTATTTAATTTTAATTATTTATTTATCTTAATCTTTAATTATTTAAATAAATAGTAATTAATTTTTTATTTAATTAAATAATAATGATTGATTAAATATTAATCAAGTAATTATGAATTAGTTTAATAATAATTAACTATTTAATTTTAAAATTATTAATGATTTTAATAGTCATTTTATTTACTTTTGCTCCTCTTTTCTGACGGTCTTCTATAGGGCTCCGGAACTTCTAACTTTAGAAATTAAGCTCTGATTTTTGCATAAGTGTTTTTGTTATTAGCTCTACAAAAATGCTGTGCGAAAGCATTCGCTACAGAAGAATCCGAAGAAAGTTGTTCATCTTTAACTATGAAGGTTTGTTTAGGTGAGCCAGTAGGATCATTCATTAGGTTGCCTGCAAATTTAAACGTTCTTCGTATCGAAGTAAATAACTTACTACGGAGAAACAAGAAACAGGTTAAATATTTCTGAACAACGTGATTTCAGAATTCATTTAAGCAATTTTTACGCCAAATATTTTTTAAAATGCATCAATATATCAAGCTCAGCTTCACATTTATTAAAATTGAATTTTTTTGCAATTCAAATATGTGATTTTGTTTCTAAAATCTTGTTTATATTTATAAAACTAAAAATAATAATAATACAAAACATAATAAAATATAAATTTAATAAACCATTTTTCTCAAACGTTTGTTCATATTCTTAGCCTTATTATTTATTTTACGTTAATTATGTGAAATTATTTGTGCTTTAAGATTATATTATATTTGCTGTGTATTACAGAGAAAAATGTAAACGGTCATAAAAGAAAACTGTTCTTTTAAAAGTATGACCTGAATATTTGGAACTCGGATCACTATTCGTCATACAGCATGTTTCTGCTTCAGAAAACAATTCTTCACAACATTACTTGTTAAACTGCCTCATTTTGAATGCAAATTAGCTATGCAACCATTTATAGGAATTTTGAGGCAAGTAAATCTTTATAAAATTCTTATTCCAGTTAAGGCAGTCTGGCTCCTTAGATGTAACATTATTTTAGGTATCTCTGAATCTTTTTTTCTTAATTTCTTTTTTTTTTTTTATTTTTATTTTTTTTTAGCCCAAAGGGCGTTAGCCCAGAAGGGATATTAATTTCATTTTGGCATTTTACATCGAATCACTTTTTACATATTTGCCACAAATATTATCGCCTTGTATTATATTTAAAGAAATGAAATAATGAAGAATCTGCATAAATGTATGCATGCATCTCGCATTGTGATAAAACAAAGGTGCCTAGATCCATTAATTTTTTAATAACGTAATCCTCCACCCGAATATGGGCATCTGGAAGCCCAAATTTGGAATCTGGAATTTGTTTTATTATCTGTTTCATATTTAATAAAGCATTTATGAGTTTTCGATAAACACACTCAACGATTCCAAAGCGAGCTATGGCAACACTGTACGGGGGGGGGGAATTATCTCCAGGGCTGTGTATCGGAAATTTTAAAGGTATGTTCTATTTTAAATTATTTTGTGATATTATTGTTGAATTGAATTTTATTTTTTAACTAAGAAGAACATGCTATTTATAAAATAAAGGTAAAACGTTTAAAAAAAAAATTTTGGTGTAATATAAAATCTGAAAACTTTCAGGTTTTTTTTTTCCTTTCCTCCCACCCTCCTTTTTTCCTCCCCAGTTTTCTTGCCGAAAAAAAACCAAAATGGCACTTAATTTTTTCCGAAAATTATTTAGCATGATTTGGGGGGCTCTGAAGTGTAAGGCATCGGCCGCGACTTTAAAGCTACAAAATAACGAAAAAAAAAAAAAAAAAACCGTTGATAACCACCTGAATTTTCTGCAGAAAGCAAATTTCACTTATTTTCTGCAAAGTCCTACCTAAAGGCAGTTAATATCGTTATTCACTTTTTCGACCTGTGAAGGAGTTGCCTGCATAAAAGTTCATGTTTACTGATTGAAAGCTCCTCTAAATCCACCCATTTCATTGTCATTACGCACCTGAAGATTGTTCCAACTCGTTTCATAATTTGCTCCAGTTTCTTTCTGAATGTTACTCATTGTTGAAAATCGCACTTGATGATTCAGTGCACATATCTCACTCTTACGAAAGAGCCATAGACAACCGCCGCTTATGTGTATAAAAGTCAGGTACCTGACACAATTTCGTAAGCCGTTCACGTAAGCCTTGATTCTACACTGCTAGAGAAAAAAAAAAAAAAAAAAAAAAAAAAAAAGAAGAAGAAGAATCTCTTCTATTCTCTGTTATTCCTGCTTGCTTTGCCCCCTCCCCTTTGCAGCACTTATCTGAAATCATTTGTTTCACCACCAACAGTAATACAGTAATTTCAGTAGAACTCTATCCTCATCCGGATACCAAATATCCGAAGCTCTAATTATCCGGAACTTTTGTTTTTCCTTCTCGATCAATTTAATTTAAGACTGTTGTTAATTATTGAACGGATTTCCATTGATTAACTACAAATCAAGTCTTTCTCACGCTGATTTAAGGAAATAAAAATTATTATTTTACATTTATATAAAAAATATTTTCTCTTTAATTTTAATTAACATAAACACGTTCTCTTCTGCGAAAATAGAAATTAATTTTCTTGTTCCACTTTAGCAGAGTAAAAATGAAAACAATAGTTATGAGTTTAGTTTTAGAACTTCCCAGAGATGCTTATCATCTAGTACAAAGCCGAGTCTGGATTTTGAGAGTTCTCGAAGTATCTTATGACTCTCCATAATCCTGTTTTTCTCATATGAAAACAAAGAGAATGAGTCTTGGGAGCTCTTAAAGAATTTTTTGCCTAAAGACTAGTTTTGCCTAAAGTCTTAATATTCTTAATCGAACTGTGGAGCCTGGGAAAAGAAAATTTTATTTTATTGTTTCAATTTAGTTGAAAAAATAACTTCACTGTTTAATTTTGCTTAAAAAAATTTTTGGTCATAATGTAGTATGCGATCTACAGTTTTTACTTAGTCACTTATTTCTTAGATGGCGCCACTAAAGCCTCATTTTTAAATTCAGACGTTTGATACAATGGCGGGCAAAAGAAATGATAAAACAACAACCAATTTTAATGCTGTCATCTAAAAAATAAATAAATAACTAAAAGCGATAAATCGCATACTGCATGATGACAAATATTTTACAGTTATTGATTGTAAAACAGTCTAACTGTAAAATGTTTTTATAGACGTTATAATATTTCTTCGCTTTTTTGACTGTCTAATCTTTGTTGAAATAAAATATTGCAAAAAAATTAATTAACTTATTTAAAAAATAATTAATAATAATTAAAACTTTTTTGTCTTTTTATTAGTATTGTGTTAACTTCATTTATAAAATATCACGTTCTTACGCTTAAGCCACATAAAATTCAATTCAATTCA